TTATGGTGGGGCAAAGGGCAGGAAACCATCACTCTAGAAATCTACAACCTTTCCTATTCATTGGCTAATAGGAGCCCTCTTTTGGAACACTACTCCCCAAACTCTCACCCACCTCAGCTTATTTTGAAGATGCCCACATGCACAGACACACACATACATCAATAACAACCATTTGGCTTCAGGCGAGAAAGGAAGTGGCTCATCCTGGCAAAGACTGGAGACCCCTGGCCATTCACCTTCCACTACCACCTCCCTTCAGCACAAACCATTGAAAGCTGGTTCTATACCTGTGCTCATGCTTTCCGGACACAAAAGAGAGAGTTAGGTACATATCTCCTGCATCCTAAAATAGGCGTTTGAGGATGGGGCAGAATGAAATATTGTTTTATTCCTAAGTATTTTATTGTTTTGATGCAATTTTAAAAGGGATTGTTTACATTCCCTTTCTGGTATTTCATTGTTAGTGTAAAGAAGTGCAACTGATCTCTGCATGTTAATCTTGTATTCCGCTACCTTGCTGAATTTGTTTATCAGTTCTAGTAGTTCTTGTGGGGATTTGTTAGGGGAAATATTGTTTTAAATATTTAAAAGATCTACATATATCCCTATAGAGAGACAGTCAACTTCATACACAAATAGCATGATATGCAAGTATTAAAATGTGAAAGAAATTGAAGTGGTAACTTGTGCCTTTTCCAGCCGACCTGGCAGGAAGTCATCACTTGCAACCATGGAGAAAAAGAACTATACAAAATAGCCTATATCATATCATAGGTACAAATGTATTCAATATATATTTGAGATTTCCAACTACCAAAGTAATCTTCATATCCTTACAGAAGTATAATGAATAAACAAATAAAAGAAACCTTCCTTTCCACCATGAGACACCATGAAATCAGCTGAAATGCACCCAAGTAGTTTAATCCTATAACATTCTTCTAAATTTGGGCCCAAGAGGCACTGCCACAATTTTGTTAGTCAATTAGACAACGATTTCATGAGAGGTGCCTCGTATGCATATCTATATATTTGTTCTGTACTGGAGGCAAGGAGGGAAGGACCCAAACAAGGAGACAGCACGGTGCCTCTCCAGGAGCCATCTAATCAGGCATCCTATGAAGATCCTTGTTCCTATGACGATGACACAGGAACAAGGAGTACGAAGGACAATCCATTCTTCCTTCCAAATACATCCAACTCCTTTTTGGTCTTCTGACACTAATGAGAACCCTAATGCAGACCCTCCATCAGCCTTTCCTCCTATCCTGGCCAGCTTCCAGCTTTTCCTCTTGGGTTCCCTTGAATGGACCTTGGCCAGATTAATTTTTCTAAACCAGGCACAAGCAAACCAGTGGTAGCAGCCTAGCTTCTCAGCCACAGGGAGTCACTGCACACTCTGGCCCCTCACCAGCCATTGCTCCCGAGGCGAATCTGCCACTGCAGCCGGAACAGCTTTGATGGGACCACTCTCTCCACTTTAATCCACCTAAGGATCCCTTCCCCTCCTGCTCACCTTTTCCAAGTGCTTGGAAATCTAACTCAAATCCCATCAATTCCACAAAGTCTTCCTTGACTCCTCTAGTCTGTAGGGTTCTCCTTTTCCAAATTCTAATAGCAATAGAATTTGCTGTGGCTCTCTTTGCCACCAGGTGGAGAAAAAAAAAAAATGATGCAAAAAGTGAAGCCACTGGACAGAGAGAAGCTGAGATAGGAGGGGTGTTTTATGCACACGTCTGAGAATCTTTCCATAATTTCTGAAATTAGGCAAGGGATAAATAATTTTTTATACCCTTCCAACCAGAATGGCCAAAATAAAAACAGTTTTAAAAAAAGACCAACTAACATTGGCAAGAGTATTAAGCAAATGGAACATCATTTACTACTAATAGGGGGGTAAATTGGTCAATCACTTTGGGGAAATACTAGTAACCACTACAGTTTAGCATAAGCTTAATCCATGAGCCAGCAATTCCAACAAAATAAGTGCACATATGCACCAGGAGAGATGCCCTGGAATGTGCACAGCTGCACTAATTGTAATAGCCAAATACTAGAAACAACCCAATTGTTCATCAACCGTAGAAGGAACAAATAACGTCAATGAATAAATACAATGACAAAATACAGCAAGGTAAATGAATAAACTCAGCCACATACAACAACACAGGTAAATCTCACAAAGACAGTTGAATGAAAGATGCCAATCACAAAAGAAACAAGGTAATGGTTAGAAAGGAACACAAAGAGTTTTCTGAGATTCCGGTAACGTTCTGTTAAATGATGTGGTTACATGGATGTGTTTATTTTGTGGAAATCAATCAAGCTGTACGCTTCTGATAAGTGCAATTTCTCTTATACATGTTATACATAAATTATATTTAAAGTGTGTGTGTGTGTGTGTGTGTGTGTGTAAAAGGGAGACAGACAGAGATGCTCCTGACTGGAGAACAGGAAGGGAAGGAAATAGCCCAGAGACCATAAATAATATCTGTAAGCACGAAGGGCTAACTTCACGGTGTGGGAGCTTTGCAGTTGCACCAGGCCTTGTATAGACAGGGTCCCAAACTTGGATCGATGCTATGCTGTCACTGGCTTACAATTCTTAATAACTTTTGAAACAAGGACCTGCATTTTCCCTTCAGCCTAGGCTCTGCAAATTATGTAGCCAATGCTGAGTACAGGTTTATTGTCAGCTCCCAGTATCCAGAATTCCTCTAGTAGATCTGAGAGAAATTCACTGAATTGAATAGGCTCAACCTCGGAAGCCCTTTTGGATGCCTTTTCAAGGAAACTGGAACTGAAGCTGCCTTCCTTACTATAAAGTCCTAGAGAAGCCAGTTGATTTCAAAGCCCACAGTAGGTCTAAAAGGAATGGGGAAGGGAGGGGTAGAAGAAGCTGCTACCCTCTGAGTCCTGAGTTAGTTCCTAAATGAATCAGGAAAACCACTTGGTTCAGAGGAGGGTATTATTTCCTCATGCAGCTGGTACCTCATCCCATCAAGGACCAGATTGATGAGTTTGAGAACCACTGGGCCTGCTTGTCTCAGCCCCCCTTCTCTCCTCCAGGGAATGAGCTGCCCTTGGGGATCAGGCGGTTTCTGGAACTGCTCCAGAGCTTGGGCTTTCCAGCATGTGTGTGGCAGGGTACGAGCATACCTAGTTCTGGAGGCATTAAGAGACTAAAGCTGTGACCTCCGTCCTGGCTTCTATCTGTCTCCCCTTTATCTTCCTTCTCAAATCATTCAGAACCTGGGCAGGGAAAAGGGGAGCCGACCAGGTTTCGAACCTTCTAGAAAATAACTGTGCTTTGCCTTCTCTTTAAAACATGGCAGTAGAACGCTTGTGCAAGAGCCACCTACAAAGTGTTCCCTGGCCGCATCCACACTATAGAGGCCAGGCCCCCCAGCTGGCCTTTGTGTGTGCTTGGCTTTTAGGCAGCAGGCCCTGCATCTCAGATAAAACAAGCTTCTCCTTCCTCCGGAGACTGATGAGCTTCTCCCCGTCTTCTTCCCTCCCTCCCGCTACTGGGTGCCTGTGGAGAGAGGAATCCAGGCTGCTGTCACTGGGCAGCCAGACCACCAAAACTACTGACTCTGCTTCAGGCCTGGGCATCCAAATAGGTGGGCTTGTCACCCCGAAATCATTTTCTGCTGAATTAAATCCAATTCCATACCCTGGGTTCTACAGCTGATACCACAGCCTGCCCATCGCCTCTATTTTCTGCCTGAATTTTGCTCACAGTTAATCGGCTGAAATCCCAGGAGATTTTCAGGGGTTATTTCACATGAAAGGAAGAGGCCTCTGATTTTTAACTGAGAATAGATAAAATTCCCAGGGTACTCCTCAGGCAAACAACCGCTCCTGCTGACTCCAGGTAAGCAGTCTGGTGGTAGCACTCAATTTCAGTTAGCCCCAAGGACACCTTTTCTTCTCATGTGACAGTAGCAATAATACCTTTTTTTCTTTATCTGCTATCAACCTACAGAGTTCCAATTTTTTGCGACTCATCTTTGGAGAAACCGTCTCTTGGTGGCTCATTCTATCCATAGGATCTTTCACTTGAATAATTTCACAGCACCTGCATTTATTCATTCATTATCTGCTTATTCTTCAACATAGAACTAAGTGGACATTTATTCCCCTTACCGTACTATCCCTTCACATTCATTTCTTTATGCTCATCAATGCCTGGTTCATGGTACCCTTCCAAAGATGTCTTCCTTGATTAAGTCCATCCTACTCTGACCAGAGTCCTCTGATCTTATCTCTTTCTTCTGTGTCCACTCAGTATTAACTGCTAAGTCTGACCCAAACTTCCCAATACGAACTCTCATAGCTCCCCATACATCTTTCTTAAAGCAAGGAAAGTCTGATGATTTTCAAATGAGGAGGAATATTGGCAGCGAGTCAGAGTCTAAAGGGAGGGTCCTTAAAGGTCCTTTGTATTTTATAAAAAGCATGTCCAATATTACACTGTATTTCAAATAATAAATACTTGTGTCAATTTTTAATATAAACTACATGAAGTATATCTCAATAAAATATCCCTGATCTGGGGGAATACAATGAAAATATAGTGATTCTCAATGGGGACTTGTCCCTGTAGGGAATGATCAGACCCTGAGCCAGGAGAAGGCAAGGTTTTTCTGTCCATCTTCCCTAGAAGCACCAGATTCATCTCTAGCCCTAGAACATGGGACATGTTTCATAAGCCTTTGTTCAAACTCTTTTCCCTACCTGGAGTGCCCTTCCCTCCTCTCTATGAAACCCCTTCTATACTTAATGAGCTATTACAAATATCACTTCATACTCTAAGCCTTTCTTGGTTCTACCAAGTGGTCTTTCCTTCTTCTGAATGCCCTGTAAGAGGCCTTATCTATGGCACTAATTGCACTGTGGCAAATACAATATTAACACATTTTTATCCACCCATCCTCCTGACGGTAAGCTCCCTGAGGATAGGAATCATGCACAGTATGATTTTTTCTTTTTCCAGGAGATGGTGAGTTTTATTTTGTCTTGTCTGGATAGAGATTTGATTTGCTCTCGAATGTTCCAGGGTGGTGAGAGACTAGGAGAAAGCACAGAATGCAGAGGTCTATTTGGTGTAATCTTCTCCCTCATTTTCACCTTCACCATCAATGCCAAGAGCAGCATACTTGCTTGCAGAACTGAATTTAGAGGCTGGATTTTCTTCAGCTTTCTTTGGCTCAGGTGCAGACCTGGAGTCTTGATGCTTTTTGCCATCTTTCCTGTCTGCCTCCTTCCAGTGGTCTTTGTTCCCTCCATATCCTGGACCATGGCTGGAATTTCCACTTTGGCTTTTTGGGGCACTCACCCCATCTACTTTATTTTCATCTGCTTTCCTTACTGGTCCTTCCTCAGATGGTTGAGCTGAAGCTACTTTCCCTCCACCACTTGTACGGGACTGCTGCTCTGTGTCTGAGCTCTGAGATCGATCAGGAGGGTTAGAACTTCGTTTCACACAAGCATTCTCCTTTGGTGGAGGGGTTGGCATTACCTTTAGAGGCTGTTCAGGTTTGGGAGGCTTAGAAGCTGGAGACTGACAGTCTTCCTCTTTATTGGGTGTTTCATATTCTAGCGGCTTCTCACTCTCTCTCCTTTGTGCATCCTGGTCTGACTTACTTCTTCCAGATGTGGCTGAGGTCCCAGTCTGTGATGACTCATTTCCTGCCCTCGGCCGTTCCCGTTCCTGAGTTTCTTCACTTCGCCAGCTTGGGTGTCTCTCCCGAGGCTGTCGTTCTAGTTTTGGCTCATCCAGCTGACGCTGCAGTTTCTCCTGTTCCTCCTGTAGCCGCTCTTCTACTTCTCGTTCTCTAGCAGCTGTGTCAACAGGCTTTGCTCCTCCAAAGATAGAGGCTGCTTGACTGGACTGGGAGGTGCTAGCAGAGGGATCATCTTCCTTAGGAGTACTCCGGGGCTTTAGGTTCAGTTTGGGTCTTTGCGGGGGACCTCTATCGTCACGCCTATAATCACCCCGAGAGTAATCATCTTTGGAGCTCCATGACCGGTCATCTTGTCATCATATCTGTCTTCATAGGGTCCCCGCCTCCTCTGTAGTGGTCATCCCTACGGTACCCACTACCAAATGCTCTTCTGCCACTGCCTATCCTGGAATAGTAGCCTCTATCATAGTCTCTGCTGCCTCGGTCATCATAGCGATCTCGGCCCCCGTAGCGATCCGTGTCCCGGCGTGGGCCATCACGGTAACTGTCCCGATACCCATCACGATATCGGCCTGAATCATAACGATCTCCATACTTGTCTGCAAAGCTATCATCACCTCTTCTAGGTGGGTAGTCATCAAAGCTGTCTGTAGCAGGACGTGCCCTCCAGTCTGTATCTGTTTTGTCAGAATCCCGATTTCTATCTCTGCCAAAAGAACGATCATCCTGTCTTTATCCTGTGCTTGATCAGCAACGTCCACTCGAATTCTCCTGTTACCTAGAGACTCTTCACTGAGGCTCGGGGCATTGAGCAAGGAATCCAGGTCCTCAAACTCAGCGTTACCAAAACCTTTCAACCTCTCAGGATTGCTGGGTTCACATTATAAACGCACTGCGCTCATATTTAAACCTCTGAAGGAATTCTAAAGAATCCCTTAATGGAGTCTTCTATCATATCACAGGGCAGGTTCCCTAGAAAAGCAGGGTAGGGTGGCGATTTGGGAAGACAGCTCCAGTGGATATTGGATTCCCGAGCAGCCCGTGGAGCAGTGGGCAGGATGGAATGGTCGACTGGAGGTGCCCCGTGCACATCATCATCATTACTATGCCAAGTGATTGAAACATCTCCTTCTAGGTCATCTGTTTCATCAGCCCAGCTGACTGGTTTGGGGACATAGGTGCTTCCTCCAGCAGTCCCTCCATCCTCAGCCAGGAGGTCTGTTAGGGAGATAGTCTTCCCCTTCCTATTCTTCATTTTTGCTGAGGCCGCCATGTTGGGAGAGGGAGAGAGAACGCAAAGGCCACAGTATGATTTTTATTCCAGAACCCTAAGATACATCAAATATCACTTCATTCTTTCTCTAAACCAAATTAACTTAGTTCTAAGCTCTATTACCTAGCTGGAGAAACATTACATTTCAGCCTTTGGTGAGCTTCCTTCTCCCATCTGCCCTCCTACCATCACCATGAGACTATACAACATTGAGTATACAGGGGAGCATATTACATGAGCAGGGTGTCCTCCTTTGAGTAGGGTGGTGTCAGCTTTGGTGCTCACTGCCAAAGCCCACATGGTCAAGTTGAAGCAGGTGGCTCCACCACCTCTTGCCTATTTCCAAAGTCCAGTCTAAGGCCCATTCTCAGCAAGGTCTTCCCAACCTTTCTATCAGGACAGATCTTTGTCTCTTCTGAACCCCATCTCTTGACCCCCCCATTTGATGTTGACTGCATTCTAGCATATGCCTTGGCATCTATTTTGTACACACTTACTCCCTCCAGTTTGCCCCATCCCTAGTCTCCCCCTAGTCTTCAGAGGAAGAAATCATCGTAGTCACATTCACCTCCTGTACTAGTAGCTAATGTAGTGCCTCAAATACTAACGTATTGAGTGAACGGTTAATCTTCTGCTCTTTCATCTTCAGTCCCGGGAGACACTTCCTGAGACATAGGATCCATACTGTAGGACTCAGCCCAGACATTCCTTCCTCAGTAAATTTCTTTACCTGTCACCACAGCTATTTGTGTCATTATGTAATCTTGTTTGTACCACTAGATTGCATATTCCATGAGGGCAAGAACAGCATCTATTTTTAAAAAATTTTTAAATTGGAGTATACTTGATTTACAATATCATGTAAGTTTCAGGTGTACAGCACAGCAATTCAGTTTTATATATATGTATATCTATATCTTTATCTATGTATCTATCTATCTCTCTCTCTCTATATTCCTTTTCAGGTTCTTTCCCCTTATAAGTTAATACATAATATTAAGTGTACTTCCCTATGCTATACAGTAGGTCTTTGTTTGTTATCTATTTATACATAGTAGTGTGTATATGTTACTCCTAGCCTCCTAGTTTATCCCTCCCACCTCCCCCTTTCCCCTTTGGTAACCATAAGTTTCTTTTCTGTGTCTGTGAGTCTCTTTTCTGTTTTTGAAATAAGTTCATTTGTGTCTTTTTTTTTCTTTTAGATTCCACATATAAGTGATATCATATCGTATTTGTCTTTCTCTTTCTGACTTAAACTTCACTTAGTATAATAATCTCTAGGTCCATCCATATTGCTGCAAATGGCATTATTTCACTCTTTTTATGACTGAGTAATATTCCATTGTGTGTGTGTGTGTGTGTGTGTGTGTGTCTGTGTGTGTGTGTGGTGTGTATACATGCCACATCTTCTTTATCCATTCATCTGTTGATGGACACTTAGGTTGCTTCCATGTCTTAGCTATTGTAAATAGTGCTGCAGTGAACATCGTGGTGCATGCATCCTTTCAAATTATGGTTTTCTCCAGATATATGCCTAGGAGTGGGATTGCTGGGTCATATGGTAGCTATATTTTTAGATTTTTAAGGACCTTCCATACTGTTCTCCATAGTGGCTGTACCAGTTTACATTCCCACCCACAGTGTAGGATGATTCCTTTTTCTCCACACTCTCTTCAGTATTTATTATTTGTAGAATTTTTGATGATGGCCATTCTGACTGGTGTGAGGTGATACCTCACTGTAGTTTTGATTTGCATTTCTCTAATAATTAGAGATGTTGAACATCTTTTCATGTGCCTTTTGGCCATCTGTATGGCTTCTTTGGAGAAATGTCTGTTTAGGTCTTCTGCTCATTTTTTGGTTTGGCTGTTCGTTTTTTTGATATTGAGCTGCATGAGCTGTTTGTAAATTCTGGAGATTAATCTCTTGTCAGTTGCACTGTTTGCAAATATTTTTTTCCCATTGTATGGGTTGTCTTTTCATTTTGTTTATAGTTTCCTTTGCTGTGCAGAAGATTTTGAGTTTAATTAGGTCCCATTTATTTATTTTTGTTTTTATTTCCGTTACTCTAGGAGACAAATCCAAAAAGATATTGCTGCAATTTATGACAAAGAGTGTTCTGCCTATGTTTTCTCCTAAGAGTTTTATAGTATCCAGTCTTACGTTTAGGTCTTTAATCCATTTTGAGTTTATTTCTGTGTATGGTGTTAAAGAATTTCATTCTTTTACATGTAGCTGTCCAGTTTTCCCAACACCATTTATTGAAGCGACTGCCTTTTCTCCATTGTAGAGTCTTGCCTCCTTTGTCTTAGATTAATTGACCATAGGTGTGTGGGTTTATTTCTGGGCTTTCTATCCTCTTCCACTGATCTATATTTCTGTTTTTGTGCCAGTGCCATACTGTTTTGATTACTATAGCTTTGAAGTCAGGGAGCTTGATTCCTTCAGCTCCATTCTTCTTTCTCAGGATTGTTTTGGCTATTTGGGGTCTTTTCTGTTTCCATACCAATTTTGAAATTATTTTTTCCAGTTCTGTGAAAAATGCCATTGGTATTTTGATAGGAATTACACTGACTCTGTAGATTGCCTTGGGTAGTACAGTCATTTTAACAATATTGATTCTTCCAATCCAAAAGCATGGTATATCTTTCCATCTGTTTCTGTCATCTTCAATTTCTTTCATCACTGTCTTATAGTTTTCAGAGTACAGGTCTTTTGCCTCCTTAGGTAGATTTATTCCTATGTTTTTCTCTTTTTTTGGATGTGATGGTAAATGGGATTGTTTCCTTAATTTCCCTTTCTGATATTTCATTGTTAGTGTATAGAAATGCAACAGATTTCTGTGTATTAATTTTGTATCCTGCAACTTTACCAAATTCATTGATGAGCTCTAGTAGTTTTCTGGTAGCATCTTTAGGATTTTCTATGTATAGTATCATGTCATTGAACAGCATCCATTTTTGCTCACTATGTTCCTTACCTAGAGTCCTGATACCCAGCAGCCAGTCAAATAAATATTGACTTGCATAATAAATACCTCCTCCTCCAACCATCAACTCTTCCAGCTGGGCTTGTGTTTCTGACACACCAGGATATGTTGAAGCTGTGGGATAACGATTCTCCCCTAAGGTTAAAGCAGAGGCCCCTCACCATGAGGACCTCCCTTGAGAAGCAAAGAGTGAGAATCCAGAATCCTCACCCATCTCTAAGCCATGTTTCACCACCTCTGCCTCACTTTTGTACCTCCAGTCCTGTTCAGAAAACTCCTTACCACTTTCAACTTTTCCTTCTTCACAGTAGAGATTTATCCAAACCTGAGCAGAGATGAAAATTCCCTCAAATAGCCAAATAAAAGCCTTTTAGGGGTCTTTCAGGCCATTCTTTAGATACTATTTTCTAACAGTAGAATGTGCAGCAATGGGGATTTTAACATGTTTGGTTGGAAATAGTGAAGAGTTCAATTAATTTAATGTGCTGAGCACTCAAGATCTGACATTGTGTAATTCTAAGTGACAGTGACATCGATGGCATTGTAGACTAGCCTAGGAGACTGCAAGGAACATGCTCCCCAGTGCTGATGGATGAGATCATATTTTAACTATTTCAAGTTTATTTTTATTTTATTTTAATTTATTTATTTATTTTACAGTTGGTCCTTGTTGGTTATCTATTTTAAGCATAGCTGTGTGTACATGTCAATCCCAAACTTGTGATTGCCGGGGGGTGGGGAGGGGAAGGTGGAGGGGAGGGATGGATTGGGAGTTTGGGATTGACATGTAACTATTTCAGGTTTAAATTGGCCTCTTCTAGTGGGGTCTAGATCCGTACTTTCCCATACAGTAGCTACTAGCCACCTGTGGCTATTTACATTTAAATTCAATAAAAATTTAAATTTCTCAGTCTCACTAGTCACACTTCAAGTACTCAGTAGCCACATGTGGCCCGTGGCTACCATATTGAACAGTGCTATGTTACATTCCTATCAACACAGAAAGATCTATGGAACAGCACCACCCTAGATTCATTGAACACACACCAAGGTGAAACCGTCTCAGCAAGATGACTTGCACTCAGATAGGAAATGTTCAATAAACATCCACTCTTTTTACTACACACCAGATTCTGTTGTACAAGCTTCACACACAGCCCATCATTAGATGGTCACAATTAGGGATATATGTAGTATATTATTATCCCCTGAACTAGTTTGCTGGTGCTGCCATTGCAAAATATTGTACACTTGGTGGCTGCATTTGATAGAAAATAGAAGACCAGAAAAATGAGCCAGATGAATGACTCTACTTACCTACTTCCTTTTTTTTTCCTCTTTGCCCTCCTGACCATTTTGGTATAAAAGTCTCACAATAGGATGGGTTATAACTCCAAACTCAGAGAGATGGTAATGTGGGTAATAAATCCTGCCCAGGACCATGCCCGAGAAGACAGCCTCCCAGGCTAAGAATGAGCAGGGCCAACTCAGTGCAGCATCTGGCTCAGGTTGGTACAATTCAGGAATGCCACCATCACCCAATGAGATTTTTGCATTGTAATATGCTAATGACCAAGCCAGTATGCTGGGCAGGGAGTAAAAAGCACCAATTCTCCTCCACAAAAATAAAAATGACATGCAGCCAGCTCTCTATTAACCACAGAAACTGGAGCAATAAGAGCAGAGGCAATTGCAATTCACAGATAATTCCAAAGCTTTTCTCTAACAAGTGACAGCAAGTGATCTCATTTTCAGAGGCTTCAAGGACAATTCTAATGTAATAAACAGAGAGACAAATTGTGTGAATGCAACACACACATACACACAGGGCTTGACGTGGGAGAAACGGAAGGGAACCAGAGACCAGATACCCATTCAGGCTTGACGTGCTCCTGCTGAACCCTTAGGCTTTGTGTTCATAAACTCGCCACTCATTCAGGACCTTTGGGCTTAATGCAAATTAATTAAACTGTCAGGTAGCTCATTTTACCATTATTGAGGTTTTAAAATAATTAGGAGTGAAGGCAACTG